GCTCCGCCCCTGGCTCCTCCCGCCCCTCCTCCGCGGAGCCGGGGGCGGAGCGTCCCGGCCAATGGCTGGGAGCAGGGCTGGGAGCTGCTGGGCGACCGTGGGTTCCAGAAGCGCCGCGGCCTGGTTAGGGTGCTGGCATGGCCGCGTGCTGGTGAACGCAGAGTGCGCGAGGGGCCAGCTGCCACCATGCCCCGGGGCGTGGGCGCTGCCCAGCTCTGCCTGCTGGCGCTCGCCCTGCCGGGGTGGACCAGAAGTAAGTAGCGGGGCGGGGGACGGGGGGCTTTGGAGGTGGGTGGGTTGGGGGACCTGGGGAGCTGGGAGTCGCCCCCCGCAACTCCTCGGGGCAGCGCCTCCGCCGGCCCCCAAGCCGGGAGCCCCGGCTTTGTTCCCACGTTGTGCGCCAGGGGAGGTGGTGGAGATGCGGGAGACCCGGAGCAGGCAGAAAACAGTCGGTCCCTCCCTGGCTTGCCTCCCTCTCTCTCCTTTTCCTCGGTTTTTCTGCTTTTGGCTTTTCTTTCCAATGCCTTCCTAGTCTCTCCTCTTTTCTCCAGTCTTTGTGTGTGTGCCTATAAATATATTTTGATAAAATTGGAGCCATACCATAGGTACAGTTTTGTGTCTTGCATATGCCACTTCACATTATGAGCATTTGCCACATCGTTACATTCTCCAAAAAACATGGTTTCAGTGACTATAAATTCCTTCAAGAAATCGCAGAAGTATAATTTTCAAAAAGTTAAAAACATGACTCTCATACAAATATAGGATGAAAGGTTGGCAAAGATTGATTTGATTCATTAATGAGGCAGTGAATAGAATGGTAAAGCTAGTTCAAAGCATTAGAGGAACAGGAGTGATACAAGCATTGGAGAAAGAATGTTGAAATCCTGTGCTGGGACAGATACACAAGTGGTCAATGCTCCATGGGGCCAAACAACCATAATTCTTAGTTATCTTTCTACTATACTGAAGTCATTTGCATCTCTACCAGACTGAAAGCTACAGTTAACAGATAACTTCACAGAGTATAGCCTTTAATTAATAGGAAACAAAAAAGTCAAACAAAGGTACATTCCTCTAGATAATTCACTAATATGTTAAACAATGCTCCAAATGTGACATTGAAAGGACCTCCTGCTTGCTCTTTTTGCCTTATTTCCAAGGTTTGAACAATTTTTCTTTTTTTTTTTTAAAGTGTTTTTTTTTTTGGTTTGTTTGTTTGTTTTTAATTTCTTTATTTATTTTGGCTGTGTTGTGTCTTCGTTTCTGTGCGAGGGCTTTCTCTAGTTGAGGCGAGCGGGGGGCCACTCTTCATCGCGGTGCGCGGGCCTCTCACTATCGCGGCCTCTCTTCTTGGGGAGCACAGGCTCCAGACGCGCAGGCTCAGTAGTTGTGGCTCACGGGCCCAGTTGCTCCGTGGCATGCGGGATCTTCCCAGACCGGGGCTCGAACCCGTGTCCCCTGCATCGGCAGGCGGACTCTCAACCGCTGCGCCACCAGGGAAGCCC